GAGACACCTGTAGAGCTCCTTTATAATCACACAGTTACGTTGTGACGTTTGGTAGCACACAAAGTGTTCCTCCGGTAAACGGGAGTTGCATAATCTCATAGTCATAGGAACATGTATAAGTCATGAAGAAAGCAATAGCAACATACTAAACGATCGGGTGCTAAGCTAATGGAATGGGTCATGTCAATCAGATCATTCAACTAATGATGTGATCCCGTTAATCAAATAACAACTCTTTGTCCATGGTTAGGAAACATAACCATCTTTGATTAACGAGCTAGTCAAGTAGAGGCCTACTAGTGACACTCTGTTTGTCTATGTATTCACACATGTATTATGTTTCCGGTTAATACAATTCTAGCATGAATAATAAACTTTTATAATGATATAAATAAATAAATAATAACTTTATTATTGCCTCTAGGGCATATTTCCTTCAGTCTCCCACTTGCACTAGAGTCAATAATCTAGATTACACAGTAATGATTCTCACACCCATGGAGCCTTGGTGCTGATCATGTTTTGCTCGTGGAAGAGGCTTAGTCAACGGGTCTGCAACATTTAGATCCGTATGTATCTTGCAAATCTCTATGTCTCCCACCTAGACTAGATCCCGGATGGAATTGAAGTGTCTCTTGATGTGCTTGGTTCTCTTGTGAAATCTGGATTCCTTCGCCAAGGCAATTGCACCAGTATTGTCACAAAAGATTTTCATTGGTCCCGATGCATTAGGTATGACACCTAGATCGGATATGAACTCCTTCATCCAGACTCCTTCATTCGCTGCTTCTGAAGCAGCTATGTATTCCGCTTCACACGTAGATCCCGCCACAACACTCTGTTTAGAACTGCACCAACTGACAGCTCCACTGTTTAATGTAAACACGTATCCGGTTTGCGATTTAGAATCGTCCGGATCAGTGTCAAAGCTTGCATCAATGTAACCGTTTACGATGAGCTCTTTGTCACCTCCATATACAAGAAACATATCCTTAGTCCTTTTCAGGTACTTCAGGATGTTCTTGACCGCTGTCCAGTGATCCACTCCTGGATTATTTTGGTACCTCCCTGCTAGACTTATAGCAAGGCACACATCAGGTCTGGTACACAGCATTGCATACATGATAGAGCCTATGGCTGAAGCATAGGGAACATATTTCATTTTCTCTCTATCTTCTGCAGTGGTCGGGCATTGAGTCTTACTCAACTTCACACCTTGTAACACAGGCAAGAACCCTTTCTTTGCTTGATCCATTTTGAACTTCTTCAAAACTTTGTCAAGGTATGTGCTTTGTGAAAGTCCAATTAAGCGTCTTGATCTATCTCTATAGATCTTGATCTAGTGGCTTCTTGGGGAGCATTGTGCCTCCACACCGCTCCAACGGAGACATACTTCCTCTCAAAGGGAAGGAACTTCGGTAACACATCCTCTTCTCCACCATTCCACTCTTGGTTATCTCGTGCCTTTATTTAAGCAAGCTTACTTATTTCATATCTCTTGCTTGCTTGTGTACCTATCCTCGTTGCATCATATAGGTTGCTCACCTAGTTGCATTTCTAGACAACCTATTTTGATGCAAAGTTTAACTTGTTAGAGAAAAGCAAAAAAATTATTAGTTGCCTATTCACCCCCCCCCCCTCTAGTCAACCATATCGATCCTTTCACCGTAGAGGTGCTTCGCCGGCGAATGTCACCGACGGCGGTTTGGCCATGGAAAGGGCCCATCCCTAAGGTACGTCTTCCTACGCTAAATCTGCAAGATTTCTTTCGGCCGAAAACATGGACGGTGGTTTCAAGACGTCATAAGAAGAAAAGGCCGGTGGTGGAGATGCCGCCGACGGTGGTGACCGATCCGATCGCAGTGATTTGGGATCAGCGGCAAGAACGTTTGAAATTGCTGCTGGGCCAGGATGGGCAGGAGCACCAATCGGCGGTCATGGGCCCTGCGAGTCCTGGGTATTCGGAGGTGGACTCTAATGCGCCTGCGAGCCATGGCAATTTTTTTTATATTTTTTTGTGTTATTTCACATTTTTGCCATGACATTTTTTACTTTATTTTTTCCATGTCAATTTTTACCTTATTTGTTCAACATGGCAATTTAACTTTTAAATTTTCCTTTTCTACATGGCAATTTTAATTTAATATACATGGCAAATTTACTTTATTCGCTCATCTAAAATATACTTCTATGGAGCATTACAAGTTTACTTTTTATTTGCCATGGCAAAAGTACATTTCATCCCTGGCAATTTTTGCCTTTTCCACCGTTCATGGATTTTTTTGCTTCTTTAGACTATTTTACATTTACTTTACATAATTGTAATCCACTTTTTTTGCCTATTGACGTATATAGCACAGAAAACTATACTTTTTCAATCCATATTTTACTTGCCACCATGATATAGATGCAAATTGCCATGAACTTTTCTTCTTAGTTCCTTTTTCCACAAAAAAATGACCTTTTTGATCATGGCACACTTTGCTTATAAGAACGGTGGCATTTTTTGGTTTTGAACCATTGTGATTTTTTAGTAGTAGCTTGTTTGTCACTCTATGTATCACGACAAATTTATCTTTTAGTTTTTAAAGCATGGTAAATCTGGGCTTTATTAGTCACAGGCAAAACTGGGGTTTTTGTTTACTGTAAAAACTGGGCTAAACTGGGTTCTTTTATTTAATATGAATCTGGGCCAAACTTGGCATGTATGGGAGCTGCACGGGATGGTCGCGCTGTGAGGCTTCTCATGCTGAATGAGCTCGTTCGGTCGATGTCCCCTGGTAGCTAACGATTCGTTCGGTCTGGGGCTCTCCCAGACCAGACGCCAGGCAGATATCAGAGTCTTTTATTCATCTTCTCTTCAGTACCAACACGCAAAATATGACTATGCTTAATAGTTTCAACTCCTGCCATAATGCTCAGCCATGTAAAGGAGGATTTCTTCTTTAGGTTGGCCTTAAGTAAATCACCCTCCGAAAAGTATTTAGCTCTTAATAGAATAGTAGCACAAAGGAAATCAGGATTATCAATCAACCGGCATGCCTGCTTAGCAAGGGAAAAGAATTCTATGAGACCAGGTTTCACGCGAGACCTATTCTGATGGATGACACGTGGCATTCATCAATCATAAAGCACCCTACCCCCATTTAAAATCAGAAGAGGAGAGAGATTAGACACTTTGTGATTTGTGAATGCCACGTGTCATTCATTAGGACAGGTCTCACCTGCTAACCGTGAGACCTGGTCTCATATAATTTATTTCCCTTAGCAAGGAGGGGCAAGATTAAGGGTGCGTTTGGATTATAACCAAAGCCGACCCTACCAAAATATTGGCTCGCCCTTGAATTTTGGTAGTCGTTAGGATGGTTGCCAGCGAATTGGCTCGCCCAACCCGCCAGCGCCGCGCCCATGTATTTCTCGCCAACGCGCGGGCGATTCCAGGGCGCTCAAAAGCTGCTCCAAAATATTGGCAGGGCGACTTGCCCCCTCTGATTGGTGGGTCCCATGTACTTTTTTTTTATTTCTATATCTAGTGCATGCAAGCTTGTGTTTCGGTTTTTTAAAATTGTAATTAATGATGTACCCACACAATTAGCGACCGCATGCACCGGGATAAGCCGCTTCTGTAGGAACTTGCTATGCGCGTCAGTTTTCTTTTTGTTGTTTTTTTCTGTTTGACTGCAAAACAGGCTTTCGTCATGTTAGAAAGTTACGGAAGACAAATATTTTTATCAAAACGGTATGTTGCAAACGAATTGTTGATCTCTTTTTATTCGAATGAAACAAATTGTTGATCTATTCTGCCAACTTTTTGGACATACGATGGCTACAAACCAAACAGAAACAGCTAGTGAAAATTTTGGTCATACCTTTGCATTGGTCATGCCAAAAATTTGGTGGGGCTAGTTTGGGCTCAAACCAAACACACCCTAAGACAATTGATATCACTTGGTAGTTGAGAATGGATGCCCCCTTCCTCTTAATTTCTCAACCACGGTTGGGAATGGGAGAAATGCAGTTGGTTGTTGGGAACCTGGGATGCCCCCCTTCCTCTTTTCTCTGTCACGGCTGTTTTTACTCCTTTCTGTCCTTGAAAAGTCAAAGCACGCACCCTCGGAAGAATCAAGGCGCTCTCGTGGTTGAAAAGTCAGAGCTCCTTTTCCCCTTTATACATGAACGCAATGTTCGTACGTACGCGTGGGTCGAGTGCACCTTTATCATTCGGACAGTTTTTCTGGTTGAGAAAAAATAGTTTAGCATGTGCCTGTATATAGAAAGCTAATCCGTGGTAGATCGAACGTCGGATGCAGACGAAACTGCTGTTTCCAGTCCTAACCATAACCAAGCAGAAACCCACGGAAACTGCAGCAAATCATCAGCTGACGTCCATTTTTCCTTTCCGGATAGCGTCCTGCTTACGATCTGTTTTGAAATGCTAGCAATACCAAGTCTGCTTACGATCCTAGACGAGACTTGCATGCTCCCATTCGTGCTCCTACATACTTGACTTGATTTGATTGTAACAAACAAAATAAGGTTCGTTCCCACCCGCTTAAAATCAGCGGGAGAGATGATTACATTATAAAGAAAAAAGGAAAAAAGACAGGTGGGAGCAAGCCGGATCCGGCGATCCTACTAGTAGTCTGTTTCAGAACCTGCAGATTTGTGTGGCCGCCTGAATTTGACTCGCTCGCGACGTGCATCGTCAGAATGCCACAACCACCAGAATTCAGAAAGAAGGCACGGGGTGACGTGCCCAGGAGAATGCTTCGTCAGAGAGAGTCTTAAACTATGGAACGAGGCAAATGCATGCAATCTACCGCGGTCCGTCGCTAAAGGAGAAACGGCTTTGACCCCCGCCGGCCGCCGCCAAGAGAACGACTAATTACGCCACACGCGCTGCGTACGCCTTCTTCTTCTTCTTCTTCTTCTTCTTCTTCTTCTTCTTCTTCTTCTTCTTCTTCTTCTTCTTCTTCTTCTTCTTCTTCTTCTTCTTCCACATGCGACTCTGCCCGTCACCTTCCTCAACTCCTCATCTCGATCGCGTACGCCAACGCCCCTCGACGATGAAGCCCCACAAGAGCAGCCCCTTCTCGCGGAAGGTCTCCGTCGCCGTTGCCACGCCGATCCTCCTCCTGCTGGCCCTCGCCGTCGTCTCGCTCTACGACTTCAACTTGGCCGAAACTTACCACAACATACGCCGCGCCTCCTCTTCATCCTCTGCATCTCCTGGCCCTGCCACCACCTCCTCGTCGCCCACGGCTCCGGCTACCGTATCATCGTCAACTTCGCCGGCCAACTCCTCCTCGTCGTCATCGTCTACGTCGGCGGCGTCTCCAGCCACCGCCGTCGAGGCCTGCGACCTGACGCGGGGCCAGTGGGTGCCGGACGACGAGCCGCCGTACTACACCAACCTGACGTGCCCGTTCATCGACGACCTCCAGAACTGCATGAAGTTCGGCAAGCCGGGCGGTCTCGACCTCATGCGCTGGCGGTGGAAGCCTGACGGCTGCGACCTCCCCCGCTTCGATGCCGGGCGGTTCTTGGAGGCCATGAGGGGCAAGTCCATGGCCTTCGTCGGGGACTCGCTCGCCAGGAACCACTTCAAGTCACTGCTCTGCATCCTGTCGCAGGTGCGTGCGTACACGGCAGATCTGCTCAGTTGGACAAACAACCCATTGCTCTTGGCAACTCGAGTCGAGGTCACGGGAATAGCATGTCCCCGACTCATGCATGGCACGCCGGTCGTCCACTTCTAGCCGCTAGCTGCTGATGCAACCGGCGTTTGAACATGTTGCAGGTGGCAGAGCCGGTGGAGCTCGTCACCACGACGGAGACGGACGTGACGGGGAGGGCCGTCCGCCGAGACTTCCACTACGGCAGCCACGGCTTCAACGTCTCGCTCTTCTGGTCGCCATTCCTGGTCAAAGCCAACCTCTCCAGCGCGGCGCTCGGCCTGGGCCTGTGGGACGTGCACCTCGACACGGCGGACGCCCGGTGGGCGGCGCACATCGCCGACTTCGACCACATCGTCCTGTCCGGCACCAACTGGTTCTTCCGCCCCTCGGTGTACTACGAGGGCGGCCGGGCCGTCGGGCGCAACGACGGCGCCAGCGGCGCCCACAACGCGACGGAGGCGCCCGTCTCCGGCGCGGTGCGCGCCGCGTTCCGCACGGCGCTCGGCGCCATCGCGGCCCGAGAGGGGTTCCGCGGCAAGGCCGTGGTCCGGACGGTCACGCCCGCGCACTTCGAGAACGGGGAGTGGAACACCGGCGGCGACTGCGTGCGCACGCGGCCGCTCCGCCGCGGCGAGCGCGCCCGCGACGCTGTCGTGGCCGAGTTCCGCGCCGCGCAGGTGGGAAACGGAGACCATGCAATGCATGCAGCCCCATACGCATGCCCCTCTCTCTTTCTCGACGCAGCAACAAGAAAGTTGGCTGCAAACGCGCGCGGAGACGTGACGCGAGTGGCTGGTGACGCAGTCTGATCTCTGATGGTTTGTCTTTGGGCTGTGCGTGCGCAGGTTGACGCGCTGAGGGAGACGGAGGCGGCACGGCGGCGGAACCGGAGCGGAGCGGAGCTGCGGTTGCTGGACATCACGGAGGCGATGGAGCTGCGGCCGGACGGGCACCCGAGCCGGTACGGGCACCCGCCGGGCGGGAGCGTGGAGGGGAGCTTCGTGGTGGACTGCCTGCACTGGTGCTTGCCCGGGGCGATCGACCTGTGGAGCGAGCTGCTGTTCCACATGCTGGCGGCTCATCCACCACAGCGTGCTGACTGACATTGAGTGAGTTCTTCTGCTAATGCATCAAAGCCAGACTTGTGTAAATTGATCTTCCTTTTTGCCGCATTAATTCAGAGCAAAGTGAGTTCACGGTTGCCAATCATATTCATACCATGGCCTGTCTGTCTGTGCGTGTCTGCAGCAGTAGGGTTTCTGTAAAAAAAAACTGAGAAAAATGGTGTGCACGGCACGCTCTGAGCTCCACCGCTGAAAGGCAATGCGCAAACTCTTCCCTTCCACGTCTCCGGAAAAAAATATATGAGACCAGGTCTCATATAAATCGGGTGAGACCCATCCTGATGGAAGTCACG